CACTGTGTTTGTAAGGTTTAATAACCTACACGCTGTACAAACCTCACTCTAAATCAATTTTTTACATGTATCTTCGTCAACAAATTCAGAAATGTTTAGCTTTGACAAAAATATTTAAAAGCTTAACACAACCTTCCCACCTTATATAGATAAACCCTTTCTTTATTGCCAGAGTTTTCAGTTAGAAAGATAGGAATTTTGCTGATTATTATTATTAATTTTTTTTTTTTTTAATTTTCAGGAAGTGTAAGGAATTTCAGTCTTTTAATGTTTAAGTAAATGTTTAGGTTATACAGAATACATTTTTGTTTGTGCAGGAAGCTATAAATTTATAGAAATACTTGTGAATCAATTCCGGGAATTTCAGCAAGTACTGTAAGCATAAGTATAAACTTTCTTGATCAAGAAAACAACCTCTTGCCCACAACAGGGTTTGAACCCACACAGCCAACAATCCTTAGACTTATAGTCTGACACATTAACCATTCAGCCATGCAACACACATTTTAATTGTATAAGTTATATTAACACTGTAAAGATCATATGGCGAATTTTCAGCCTTGTTCGTGGGGAAAGACCTTTGGTACCAAAACATTCAATAAATCAGGTATGAGCAGAAACCCTAAGTAGAATCATGAAATTTCTATCCGCTAGCTGGCATAAAATATCTTAAAGTTCCTGTTGGGATTTCAACCAAAAGCCCTAAAGAGGAAGTAATTTTAGACTTATTTCCATAACTAAAACGGCATGGATGTCCTTTATTAGTAACTTTAACAATTTCAGTTTAATTTACTGAAAAGTAGATAAATTTTTTATCAGAGAAACTTCTTCATTGTTCTAAATAGTTAACTTATATCTATGTAAATCTTTATATAGATGATCAATATAATTATCTTTCATGGAAAGACATAAATAACACAAAGTAACTTAAAATAGACAAATCATAGAGATCATTCTAAAAGATTGAAAGGCTGTACAAAAATAAATTGTACATGCCACAAGCAATCAGGTTGTACTTCTGTCTAGGCATGTCTACAACTTCGATATATATTTAGATAAATATCTCGAGTCATGCTCACCTGTCAAATTGAAATGTTTGTTTAAATAACAAGGAACTATTCACTCCAATAAGTACTTGTACTCACAAAACAAAATTGCTATCATTAAAACTTATAGTTAAAACTGGATTTGTAGATATCAATATAACTCTTCTGGAAAAAGTAGTGATTGAGGGCAATTCAATTGTAGCCTTAAGTAGAAAAAAAACATATGCCACCCACTAGCAATATCATGGAGATTTAGATAATTTAGTAATAAGAGCATTAGAAAAAAATAAAATGAAAACCATACCCCACCCACTAACAATGTTGAGGATCTTATTGTAGATAAATAGAACCTGTACCCCACCCACTAGTATGACCTGTTGCAAGCAAAAACAATGAGGAAATAAAATTAAAAAAAAGTATCTTAGCAACCACAATAATCAGATTTAACATAATTGCTCAGTATTATCATAATAAAGTTATACAATACAGTGACAATATCACAACATTTCATTGGTAGTAACATATCATACATTGTGTCATACACCATTTTACTCCATGGCATAATATACGCCTTAAGGTGGAATGGTTTTCTAAGTGACTTTAACCCCTTAACCTGCTTGATAAGCCTTTGCCACACCAGTATAGAGCCAGGTCAGCATGCACATCTCGTCACATCAGCGCAGTAACAGGTTAACTCCTACCAAATTATATATCAAATTACATATGAAGATAACCCATTACAGCACTAAGGTGACGATCTGTACATTCTGACAAGCCTCTAAACTGTTGGCAGCTCAATCATTATATTGATAGTAAAACTTAGAATGGACTGTTACGAATTCAAAACTTGGCAAATCCAGTTAAATAGACTGTTCTGAATTCAAAACTTGGCAAATCCAGTTAAATGGACTGTTCCAAATTCAGAACTTGGCAAATCCATTACACAAATTCTGCAGGTTAAAGATTAATTAATGAGATAAAAATCTGGATTTTGACATCACCGGTATTGATGAACTCCCTGTATGGCCAAATCCAGAGATTTTTTTTTCAATCATGAAACATTCTATTATCCCATTATACAGTAAAATAAACATAACTAAAATATATCAAAAAATAATATCTGCAGTGTCAGTGTTCATTAAGATCTTTTTTATTATTAAAAAAAGGTAGTATAAATTTTATTGTGTTAAACTTTAAAGGGACTTCACTGAGGTTTTCTTGACATGATGGGACTGGAAATAATTTTTCTTATTGTTAATGTTCCATTTCATGTAGGTCTAGACCAATAACTTGTGTGCAAAATTTTGAATCATTCGCTCACTCAGTTTTTTTTTCTAGAATATTTATTCTAATTGTATGTAACGTATGACTCAACATCAAAAAGCATTGCAAAACTTTTCACTCAAATCAGACTAACAACAGCACAAAAATACGATTTTTAATTTATTTCCGAGTTGATTACTTCATTATCTTTTGCATATCTTTCTGTTTTAAGTTCCAAGGTGATCTAAGAAAAAAATTCAAACGCATTTTGGACCTCAGTGGAGTTCCTTTAATAATTTGCAGAAATATTATAATCAATTTTAGATTTCTGGAAAATTCGTTCAAGATGTTATTTTCTCAACAAAAAAGCACCTAGGGAAGAATTTTACAAATAAATAATGTTTTTTAATGCTTAAAAAAATATATTTGTTCAAATATTCATAAAATATTATCTTTAATTAAATTATACCATATTTTCAATGCATTTAGACATAATTGACATTTGAAAGAATTCTGTTGTAAGGCTCAAAATAAAATTAGATCACTTTTATCCAACTATTAAAGGGACTCCACTGAAGGTTTTTGACATAATAGAAGTTGAATTTTTTTCTTTCTTGAAACTTTTAGTTTATTTGCTCTTCTTGTTTTTTTTGGAGTGATGGAGTGTTCGTTTTTATTGTGAAAATTGACCCAAAAATGAAAGCCTTCAAATGAAAGTCTTCGTTACTGAAATTTGGCCTAGAATCTCACAAAAAATCAATTTTACATTTAATTCTAAACATATTTCTTATAATCTATTTAATCTATTGCATATTTTTATGTTTTAAGTGCCCCAGTTGATCTTGGTAAGAATTTAAAATCTTTATGTTTTTAGTCTTTTTTTGTACTGCAGAGGAGCTCCTTTAACATAGTTTGAAATGACTCCGACTTTTTAACTTTCAGACAGACATGATTATGATTATGTGATTAAACAGGACAAAAACTAACAGCTGATTTGGAAACAGACTATAACTTTTCAAAAAATGTAGTATGCACAATGTATTTGTGTACAAATTAATAAAAAACAACAACTTGTAATGAAACAATAACTGAAGGATGAAAGTTACATTTTTAGAAAAATGAACACCAATGATTTAAGGTAAATACTATTGAAAAATAACATTTATTCAATGAAATAGACTATATATTCTGAGAAGTTAAAAGTGTTAGGTTTTAGTACCAACTTAGTTATAAAAGTAAAAATTTATGCTTAATAAAATAAATTGTTACTTAAATTTGAAAAACTGAAAAATGGAAATAAATGTTAAGCCATTTTTTGCTTCACTAGATAAAAAATAAGCAAAACAGAGAATAAAATGCCTGTGTAAGGTATCAATCTTAAATGTTACCATAGACAGGTGTATGAGGAAATTCATTTTGATGACCATTAAATTTTCAAAATTTACAAAAAAGGGGATAATTTTCATACAATTTGTTTTATCAGAATTTACAGATTTCAAGAGACTCATGTCCCTTTAAGCACATAATATTATGGTAAAGGCAAATTTCGCTTTTTACCAATGAAAAAAATATATTCCCACCTATCGCATGACTCTATTCCCCCTATAGATATATATTTATATAAGCTTCAACTTTTATTTTCAACATTTACTGCCCTAAATTAAATATAATATAAGACCCTGCCAATATTTTTCATTTTGAAATTACATTCACAGGTTTAGTGTGTGATGTTTGCCATGACCTACTATAGTAATTGTAACATATTGGTTGACAGCTTTTGTTTGTAGTGGATTTTTCAGTCTTATGTTTTACCAATAATTTCCTGTAATTTGATAAAAATAGGGCTACTTTTTTATTAGCTCCAAGGAAATTTGATAAAATAATCACAACAAACATTTGTATCTAATAATGAAAAAAGGCGATATATTTTCAGCCCATTCCACAAAAACTTGATAGTTATAAAAGTTTCTTTGGAAATGTTGCTTTTTTTCATCAGAAAATTGCCTCTTTTTATATTAACCGTCAGTAAGACACAGAGTAGCTTGTGGATTAAACTGTTTCTTTTTTTTCTATTCGGTCACACCAACCTTGTTTGACATACATGTACCAGTACATCATCAACTCCCTGACTCTCTAAAGAGAATTTGAGCCGTGTCACGACAAAACCAACATAATGGGTTTGCGACCAGCATGGATCCAGACCAGCATGCGCATCCGCGCAGTCTGATCAGGATCCATGCTGTTCGCTATCACTTTCTTTACTTGTTATAGGGTCTGTAAGCGAACAGCATGGATCCTGATCAGACTGCGCGGATGCGCAGGCTGGTCTGGATCCATGCTGGTCGCAAACCCATTATGTTGGTTTTGTCGTGACACGGCTCATTTAATGGTCACCAAAATGAGAAACCCCTTTAAAGCAGCATGCCTCCAGATTCATGCTAATTTTTTCATAAAAAAAAATGAAAAATGTTTTTAATAAGTCAAATATTGTGAAAAGAACAAAGAAAGTAATTTACACAATGCAAACGGCACTTACAATCCACTTAAATACTATAGAGGTAAAATATGCAAAAAAAGCCTTTTCTGTGTTAGTCATGTGGTAAAAATATGGTGATAAATACTGACAAAATGTAAACTTTTACTTGAATCTTTATACTTTCTTAAAAACATAGCACATTTTTTTCTGAAGAAATATTTTGGGTCACTTGGAGGCGTGCAGCTTTAAACCTTCTAGGTAAAGCTTTAAACATTATAGGTCAGCAGAATTAATGAACACATTGAATCAAATCTGGTCATATAATTATTAGTTAAAACATCTGAATGAAAAAAAAAAAAACTTAACATATTGCAATAGTAAAAGAGTATACTATAAACGTTGCAACTTATATAATGCAATATAATCACAAACAAAAATATACAGATAAACTGATGAAAAAAAAAAGTGGATAAGTTTGTTTTACAAAATATTATATTTGATTCGGAAATGGAACTGGAATATGACAGTGTCTCAATATACATCGATGATTCTACAATTTCATTTGAATTACAAAATATCTTAATCATCTCCTAGTGCACAAAAGATTTGTTATGAATAGATATTGTGAGGAGGAGAAAAAAAAAAGAATCTATATTTGTATCACAGTCTTTTCAAAATATAACCTTGTCATACACTACCGTATATCAGGAAATGTTTACAAGCTGTTTGAAAAAAAAAATTCAACAACAACATATAAACGCTTATCAAACTATAACTTCTTCCTCATTGCAAACATAATACCCAACACGACCACGGTCGCTTTCGCTTGCGGCAATCTCCCGACATACGGTATATCTCCAAGCACTCAGCTTACGATGATGTCGTAGATGGGAGCGATCTTTGTTCCTGAGTGTGTGATGAAGAGGGAATCTGAGAAGAACCAAACAAGTGCTCCCCTTTAACAGGAGCTGTGCTTGATTCACTAAACTGTCCTGAATCAGATCTATAACCTTGACCTTGAATTGTTGGGCTCTGAGAATTAGCTGGGGACCTGTTCCTGTGACCTTGACCTGGACTGTCTCTTTGAATCTGTTGTACAGATTCAGATTGTTTTTGGTCTTTTTCAAAAGCATAAGTATCTTCCAAACTCTGCTGCTTTTGCTGTTGAGAAATTTCTGCTGCATGAGCAGTCACTTCCTTATGGGTTAAGGAAATACACACATCTCCCACTGAAAGTTTGTGGCACTCGAGCCCGTACCGTTTCATTGTCCAAGTTGGCTCACATGATGACCAGCCCTGGCCAAACACAAAAAAAGGATGTTCTACTGTTGCCTCTACTCTAACCTGGAAAATATAAATATTTATTGAATAAAAGAATGTTCAGATAAACAATATTTTTGGATAAAAGAATGTTAAGAAAAAATGAAATTTTATTTGTAGAAGTATCAAAGTTTTGCCCTTGGTTGCTTATTTAGTTATTATATGACTCTCCTGCTTTTAATAGTATTATATGGCCCTCTAATTAAATGGCTATTATATGACCCTCTTGCTTTAAATGTTTATTATATGACCCTCATGATTTGACCCTTTTGCTTTTAATGTTATATGACCCTCATGATTCTATTTGGTTATTATATGACCCTTATGCTTTTAATGGTAATATATATCCCTCACAATTCTATTTGGTCATTATTTGACCCTTCTGCTTTTAATGGTATTATATGACCCTCATGATTCTATTTGGTCATTATTTGACCCTTCTGCTTAAAATGGTTACTTTATGACCCTCTTGATTTTATTTGGTCATTATATGACCCTTCTGCTTTTAATTAGGTGATTATATGATTATGACCCTCATGATTTTATTTCCGTTTTTGTTTAGTTGCATGTTTTCAATTGGTTATAACAGGACACTTGTCGCCTATGCTTATATTAGGTATTAATATATATATATTACCCATATGGATTTACTTGATTATATGACCGTCATTTTATTTTATTTTGGTTATTATATGACCAGCTTGCTTTAACTTTGTTATTGTGTGTGACACCTACTCATATTACTAAACATATATATATATGGTATAAAATTATGAATCACACATCTGTTTTCTTATACATGTATGCATGTGACTTATTGAATGAAAGTTATGGTATTACATACATTTGCATAGCATACGTACATGCCTGGTAATTACTTTATACAATCACTGGAAGCCGGCCAAGTCAGGACAGCAGCTGTTTAAACATTGATGATGACTCACATACACACACATTTTTACCGTCAGGCTAACATACTTTAATTAAATATGACACTATTAATTTTCGCATTTAATTTATTCTAATTTATTCTTCTACGAGAATGTTTGATGAAAACAATTTCTATCCAATTTGAAATGATTTCCTGGAAAATTCGGAACAACAAAGGGGTGGCCCAGTTGGTTTCAAACCAAGGTCCTATGATTCAACAGTTGTTTTCTAACAGACATCCCTACTTTGTTAAAACTAAATCTGGCTCATAGTTAAACTTGTTCATTTCTGTGTCAGACTGACCCAGTCTGATTGTTTTAATGCTGATTTTAACACATTTTTTGGTCATGCCACAACTTATTGTCCACCTAAGCCAGCTTTCCTGGATAACTAACCAGTAATAACCAAATTCTCCACAATTGACCGGTTACTAATTCGAAATGATTTTTGAATAAGCAGTGAGAAACAATTAACATTAAATTTTGCACTCAATGTCTGAGATTGTAACAGAAAAATTTCTCCTAACCAGGAGCAAGAATCAAACCAGAGTCAAGGATTGAACAAAAATCCCTGTTATACAAGTCTCTTGTGCTAAGCGGGCGGGCAGACTTACTGACACACTTGAGTCTTCATTCTGTCTTTTTACTGACCCAGTTACCAGTCACAGGTAGTATGAAGATGCTTATCAGGTTAAATCTTTCTTTCATTTTTGTAGGAATAATTCATCAAAAGCAATGACAACCAATCAGATTCACTTCATATAAAAGCTTTATGAGCCGTCCAACTTTTATTCTGGAACAGTTCATTATTAATTTACGAACTCATGTGACCCCCATGAAAATAAAATTGGACAGATGTGCAGGCTTGTCCGGCATTGGCTTTTCAAGTTGGTAATTAAGGCCTTCTAGAGTTTGGGTTCAGCATTATATGATGGTAAAAAATCATTCTGTCTCTCCCACAGTAGAAAAATTTCAAGAAATGCTTATAATTATGCAGCTTTAACTATTAATCCATTGTGGCAACATAGTATATTACATTTATTTTCTTCTTGATTATTTTTTTTTTTAATTTTAGCTTTTACGATCAAAATAGAAACTTGAACATCAATATAACCTTGAACCTTTAATGATTTCATCATATCTATATATTATATCTACAAGTCTATCTTTGTCTACTTATTAATTTCATAATTTATTTCTCTCTTAATTGCAAGAAGGAATTTAATTGGACTAATTTCCTATTTCCATTCTTAGTACTTATCGTAACGGAAATAAATAGCGTCGTGACACACCTATTAACTACAAACTACATTTTCTCATGATTTAAATCACCTTATTACCATATTTAACATCGCTGGAAATAAATACTGTCAATGCCATGCAGTCGTTTTATTTCAAGAAGATAAAAGGATCTTGTTTTTGTTTTTTTGTTTTTTCATAAGAATAATTTTATCTAAAAGTTATGTAACATCAGAACCGTGTGACACTTAAATCACATTGTATAAACCAGTTTAAACGATCTGCAATTTTAATATCGCAGACCTTTATCTTTTATCTGTTGCATAAGTCTGGGTATTATTAAATATTTTTAGTCTTTTCACACACTTTTTCCCTTCATACATTGTATAATGAGGATAAAAAATAAAATAGAAAATGCCTTTTTAGACAGATAACTTGTCATAAAATGTTTTCAAACTACTTTTCTCATACAATCATAAATATAGTCAACCCTGATTAAATGGCAGTCCACACCTCCATATAACAATAATATTATTACTCTTTTTCTGGCGAGATTAGATAGTATTTAGGGCAACCAAAAAACCTAACCCATAATGCGGGCAATCTAATCACCTGTGGTTAGGGCACCCTTTAAACTTAACCTGTGAAGAGGACGAAGAGGACAATAACAAATCCTACCCTGTGATAAACCTAACCTGTGATATCTAGACCTTACCCTGGTAAGGACAACCAGAAGATCAAACCTGTGTGATTAGGGCAAATTGAAGATCAAGCATATGAAGAGGAGAATCTCAAGACCTAGCCTTGTGATGAGGGCAACCTCAAGAACTTATCCTGTGATGAGGTCAAGATCTTATCCCATAAGGTCAACTTGAAGACCTAGCCTGAGACAAGGTCAATCATAAGACCTAGTCCTGTGACAAGGGCAATCTCAAGACCTAGCCTGTGACAAGGTCAATCTGAAGACTTAGTCTGCGACAAGGGTAATCTCAAGACTTAGTCTGTGACAAGGGTAATCTCAAGACCTAGACTGTGACTAGGTCAATCTCAAGACCTAGCCTGTGACAAGGTCAATCACAAGACCTAGCCTGCTAGCCTGTGACAAGAGCATCTCAAGACCAAGCCTGTAAAAAGGTCAATCTTAAGACCAAACCTGTGACAAGGGCAATTGCAAGACCAAACCTGTGACAACGGCAATCTCAAGACCTAGCCTGTGAAAACGGCAATCTCAAGACCAAGCATGTGACAACTGCAATCTCAAGACCTAGCCTGTGACAAGGTCAATCTTAAGACCTAGCCTGTGACAAGGTCAATCTTAAGACCAAGCCTGTAAAAAGGTCAATCTTAAGACCAAGCCTGTGACAAGGTCAATTTGAAGACTTAGCCTGTGACAAGGACAATCTCAAGACCAAGCCTGCAATACGGTCAATCTCAAGACCTAGCCTGTGACAAGGGCAATCTTAAGACCTAGCCTGGACAAGGGTTATCTGAAGACCTAGCCTGTGACAACGGCAATCTCAAGACCTAGTCTGTGACAAGGGTTATCTGAAGACCTAGACTGTGACGAGGTCAATCACAAGATCTAGCCTGTGACAAGAGCATCTCAAGACCAAGCCAGTTATAAGGTCAATCTCAAGACCTAGCCTGTGACAAGGTCAATCTCAAGACCTAGCCTGTGACATGGTCAATCTCAAGACCTATCCTGTGACAAGGTCAATCTCAAGACCTAGCCTGTGACAAGGTCAATCTCAAGACCTAGCCTGTGACAAGGTAAATCTCAATACCAAGCCTGTGACAAGGTCAATCTCAAGACCTAGCCTGTGACTAGGTCAATTTTTCTTCAATGGCTGAAAAATATTTTAATAAAACTGCAGCTTAGGGGGGTCAACTGCCAAGATTTGAAGCAAAATGCATTAAAATTAGCATTATAAAACCAACCAACCAAACACCAGTCAATGGGAGGAAGTCATACAGGTTTAACTGTACATTTATTCATGAAAAACCTCTTGTCTGATATCTTTCACCACCACTTACAACACTTCACTATGTCTCTATACTTAGTGCTTCACACAATGTTAACAATTTATTTTCCCTGAAACATTTATTTATCTTTACAAAGTTTACATTCATATGATCAAATCATGAAACAAATCTTTAAAGTCTTAAAATATTATGCAAATAGGCACATGGGTTCAAGGGCAATTAAAGGGAACAAATCTTCATTTGTTCCAAATTTTGAGATTTATCAAGCATCTGCTGATACTATAATCACTATATAACATGTAACCTTTGACCTTTATGTTTTACCTTGACCTTTGACAAAACTATCACTTATCTCAAAATTCTTTCATGTCAGACCGGACTCCTCCATTTTATTTGTAACTTGTATAATCAAATGCTACATAATTCTAATTTCATCAGCAGACGTTAACACCATCCACTTTAAGTCATGTGATACCCTGATTCTGGAAATGCTTAAATTTCTTTACACAAGCAAGCTCCATATGTTTAACATGCTACAGTTACCTAACACTTTAAGATTTAACAAATTATGTAACGATACATGACGTTACTTACAGCTTTATTCATCATTCACGATTCTAATAAAATTAATAAGTCTATTATATTAATATCATCTCTTGTTCCTTTGTAAGTATATTTAGATTGATTACTTTCACAAGTTCAACACACACGATCATTTTTCATTATCAGTATACCTCAAATGAATCCATGAACTTGTGTGGACAACAGTTATCTGGTTACATAATAGCTTTAATATTGTTGTAGTATTGTTGTTCATTTATCTTCACTAACACAATATCAATTGAACTTGCACTTTTCTTGATCAGCTGTTTATGGATACACTTTTTTTAGCTTTTTTACGCACTAAACTATTTTTTTATTATTTTGCAGCAGATTTTGAGAAAAAAATGAAACAATTAAGTTATATGTAGCCTCTTTCAAGTTTAAATCATAGAAAACCAAAGGTGTTCCCGCTTTGTATTGTTGTACGCTAGTCAACCCTGGCCCACAATCAACCATGCAGGTATGGAAGACATTCATGTACTTGGCTAGATTTGACCTATATAACCCCGTAACCTGCTGGAACCAAAAGTAAGTAGCCTTTGCATAGGCCAACCCTGAACTCATGTGCAATTTTTGTATATTTTTAATGAATCCCCTTACACTTGAAATTAACTGATCTAAAAGCTTGGCAAATCTTTTATATGTGTTAAGGGTGAAACAAGAGCGATCAGTAATCACATGTGTCGCCTCATGATGGCCAATTTCATGTTGGGACAAATTTTGTGACAGACGGACAGACAGACGGACAGTGCACAACTAGACTAACAACTTTGTACTGATCATAAATTGCACCAGTAGTTTATGAGGAGTAGTCCGGACAAGCTTTTGCGTATCTGGCAACACACAGAAAAAAACACCTTTTTATCAAAGGGCCATAACTCAGCCAAAAATCATTCAACCGGAAAACCCGTGCAATATGCGCAAGGACTTGAGCTACAGATCAATCCTGTAAAGTTTCATTGAAATTGCATAAGTGGTATAAGAGAAGTAGTGTGGACAAAGTTTAAAAATAAAAATTATTAAAGGGCCATAACTCAAACAAAAATCATTGAACCGGAAAATGCTGACAATATGCACAACTAGACTTGGTACTGATCATTCCTGTAAAGTTTGGATGAAATTGCACCAGTAGTTTATGAGGAGTAGTCCGGACAAGCTTTTGTGTATCTGGCAACACACAGAAAAAGAAACCTTTTTATCAAAGGGCCATAACTCAGCCAAAAATCATTCAACCGGAAAACCCGTGCAATATGCGCAAGGACTTGAGCTACAGATCAATCCTGTAAAGTTTCATTGAAACTGCATTAGTGGTATAAGAGAAGTAGTCCGGACAAACTTTAAAATTAAAAATTATTAAAGGGCCATAACTCTGACAAAAATCATTGAACCGGAAAATCCTGACAATATGCACAACTAGACTTGGTACTGATCATTCCTGTAAAATTTGGATGAAATTGCACCAGTAGTTTATGAGGAGTAGTCCGGACAAGTTTTGTGACGGACGGACGGACAGACGGACAGACAGACAGACAGACAGACGGACAGACAGACGACGGAGAAGTGATCCCTATATGTCGCCACTACTCCGTAGAGGCGACACAAAAAGGGGCAATGTCAGAGCAATACTAAGTCTGTGACTGTCACCAATTATGGCATTACTTTCATTTAACTTTTTTTACGCTTGCAGCAATACTTTCCGGTCATGGCATGTTTCTTTTCATGTACTCAACTGTCTATGTTACCCAAGTTTTATACATGATTAAAGTAGACTTTAAGTGATCAGCATTTAAATACCTTCCTTATTTAACAACATCCAAGGTCAAGTGGTGTAACAACGAGGTAAGTGAACAGTCCTTTAATAAGGACCTTTTTTTCTTCCTTCCTATTTCATATTACCAGACTGTAAGGCGCCTGTATTTTTCGAAAAATGGCAGAGCACTAAAAATGATCAGAAAATGTTAACAGAGATGGAAAAAGCCCAACAGAGGTGGATATTGCTTTACAGAAACCGAGGTGGAAATTGCCTCAATGTAGTGGAGGTGGAAAAATGAAAATGCTTCACATGGGTGGAAATTGCCTATAAGGGAAATCCAGGGGTGGAACTGCCTAAGAGTCAGAAAAAGAAATTGACTGATATGGGTGTAAACTACCTCAAAGAGGCAGAGGGTAGAAATTGCCTTATTGCCACAAAGAGACAGAGGTTAGATTTGACTGACATGGGTAAACTGCCTCAACGAGGCAAACATTTTGAGGCAGACAGAAGAAATTGAATGGCATTTAAACTGTAAACTACCTCAAAGAGGTAGAAGGAAGAAATTGCCTTAATGGCTCAAAGAGGCAGATGTAGAAACTGATTGACATGGATGGAAGTTGCCTCAGATAGGCAAAGGAACAAACTGCCTAACATGAGAGGAATTTGACTCAATAAGGGGAATACCATCTCAAATAAACAGTATAAAATTTCCTCATAGAAGGGAAATTGCCCAATATATATGGGGAAATTAGTAATGCTACAAAAATAAGGCAAATCATTCATTTTATATTTGCTTTCCTCAAAAACAGGTTACTTTATATTCCTTATATTTAAAGTAAATTGGTCTGTCAGTTTATCACTTGATAAGCCAATGACTTGACTCACATGATACTTTTTATGAATTTTATCAGAGGTGTTTTATAGTCTTTTAATTACACTTAAGTCATCAATGCAATCTGACATGGCCCTAAACTGTTGGCAGACTTACTTAAAATTTTCATCCTGATATTCCTTAAATTGATAATGGACAGTTCCAAATATGTCAGGTGGACAAGTCCATTTAAAAAAAACTCTGCAAGTGAAAGGTTAAAAGGCTATTTTAAGTGCAAATACTAATAAGAAATGAAAACTAAAGAAAACTGATCTTATTACTAATATTTAAACCATTAAATTACATCTACCATATTTAGAATCATGAATGAATTTCTTATTATGAAACATAATATTGTCATACCAATCAAGAGTTTCCATGAGAATTTATTGTCCTATCATATAGCAAGGTTTCATTTGTCTTATTCTACAGAAGCACATGTGTGGACAAAATAGAAACCAAGGCACTGGTATAGATCCAGGGCAACTTAGGTGCTTTTTGAAATCAAAATCCCTTACACTTACAATGGACAGTTCCGAAAACTTTCAAAATTCATATCATTACATAAATTAAGTAGGGTAGTAGGGTACGAGTCTTCTCTCTAGAAATGAATAGCTTTAAACTCACCTGAATTTTATGTTCTCCGACAACAAAACCCAGGACAGCTGTACCCTGAGCCTCATTCTCGTCGATATGTACAACGGTACTTGAATCAATCTTGAGATCACTGCTAGCATCCGCACTATGTCTAAAATCATCCGTTTCTAAATCCTCAACACGCTTGTATTCACCATTTCCTAACTGAATAATAGACCCCTTCATAAAATGTGGAGGATAATGTAAGTGAGGGGTCCGGCCGTGTGACATTTCAGAACCAGGTTGCGAACTTTCCGTCGTTTGCAAACCTTGTCTGTTAAAGTCTAACTTGTCACCACCTAAATTCTCACTCTTAGTTCTTTTAGCAACAGGTTCATCAGTATTTGTGAAAGCACTATGTTGTGGGTTTCCTAACGGAACAGAACTAGTTGAATCCGAGGGTCGTAAAATTCTATGTTTTAGACTACCTTCCCTACCTATCTTATAATAGTCTTGGGGGTCACGACCTTGACTTGGAGATTCTCGTAATGTAGATGAAAAAGTTACTCTAGCTGGTTCCGGAAAACCAGATGGCACAGGAAAATGATGCGCTTTTTCATCTTTTAACACACCTGTACTATACCGTCTTTTTTCTAGTTCAACTTCTCGTCTGTACTTACTATCATCTCTTTCATGCGTACCTAAATTTGTGTTTGCTATAAAAGTTTTACTACCGGGGGAAGTTGTTCTTGGCATGTGAAGGGAATATTGGCCTAGTACACCAGATGCACCTCCTGATCCCCCGCTGTTTCCGTATGGTGAACGGGGAACTTGTGTCTGAGCGGCATGACTGCCCATACTTTGCAACACTGCGGAATATGATCCATACTGTTGATCAAGAGTACCATGCATCACTCCTGTATTGTAACCTGGATACTGACTGTAAAACGCACTATATGGAGCAAGTCCAGTACCATGTGACCCTGTGGCATACAATGGAGAATACGGACCGACAGCTGAAGAACCAGCAGCTGTGGTGAATGGTGTCCCGTACCGACCGCTTTCCGGTACAGACTGAGGCGGCCGAAAAACACTTGCAAGAGTTACTTGGGGACCAGCCCCAGCAGTTCCTGCCACAATGCTACGTGAACCAATATCATGTAATGCAACACCCCCGGTACCTCCTATACGCCCTAATAACATCCCCTCAGTTGTTGCAACCTGAGGTTGCGTATGACTTTGAGTGCTTGAACCATCTGATAATAGACTTAAATTATTGTTGGTTCCACCAGTCGAGCTACCAGTCATTCTATTCCTGTCATAGCCATTAGATCCCGACATTCGCCAACCACTGTCAACATCATTTCCTCCAAATTTTAATTTGTCGTCTGCACATTTATTCTGAAAATTTGAATTGATATCCCGTTTTAAATTCTCTGTATCGAGATTTGTATCACTTTTAATTGTTTCTCCTAGTAAAGCAGCCTTTAGTAACACGCCTTTGTCACCTTTGCCTATCTTAGAATGAAACTGCACGTTTGACAAAGGGCCATGACTCTTGACAGCATTACTTAAAAGCGATTTGCTTAAATTTCTGACGGCTGTCTCCTGACTGGAGTTTTCACAATGTGACCAAATGACTGAAGTTCCCGGCTGTGTCCATCCACAGTCATCACTAGGGGGTGTCGGTGACGTGAATGTCTCGGAGCACAACAGTGACTGGGATTCGTCACCTGCAATTAGAATGAAAAACGTTCAATTTCATTATCAATATCAAATACAAGGCTCGCTGAGTATAGAAATTTTTACAAACATAACTCTTTTCATTTAGATCTTAGATATAACTATAACTAAACTTAACATGCTATAAAAAAATTATTACAATGTTTACCAGATCAGTGTCACTGAACTCTACAAGTTCATTTGCCTACAACCAATCGTAACTGGCTCATAAATTTGAAAATTGTGTAAAATAGCATAGTCAACTAGTAGCAATCAGAGGTCAAGTTGCCCATAACAAAATCTTTGCCAAGAGTACATTAAACTACAAATTAAATGTCATTATTATTGATCTTATTTGCACACACAATTCACCTACATATACACAGGGCCGGCAAAATCAATTGTCCGAGTTGCCCGAGTCGTAAAATTGTAGGTCCGGGCAAGTAAAAATTCTGCAGTTTACTTGTCCGTGGACAAGTAAATTTCGGCGGCTAAAAGAGGAATTCTGAAGAAAACTAGAAATGTGTCCATAGGACACGGATGCCCCCACACACCACTGTTCTGTCAATCTTATGACTCTAGGTCAAATATTTTTTGGACTACATGTTGAAAACTAAAAATCAACAAAGGGCCATAATTCTGTTAAACTTGGTCGCAGCAAAAATTCCTACCTTTACTACCATCTACACATTAAGGTTGTTAATCCCTGGAAGTTTAAGCAAAATCTGCCATCCGGTTTAAGAGGAGTTGCAATCACAAAATTTCTACATAGTATATAATGAAAAAAACAACAAAGGGCCATAATTCTGTTAAATTTGGTTGCAGCGAAAATTCCTTCCTTTACTGCCATCTACACATAAAGGTTGTTCATCCTTGGAAGTTTAAGCAAAATCTGCCATCCGGTTTAAGAGGAGTTGCATTCACAAAATTTCTATATAGTATATAGTGAAAAAATCAACAAAGGGCCATAATTCTGTAAAGTTTGGTCGCAGCAAAAATTCCTTCCTTTACTACCATCTTCACCTTAAGGTTGTTCATCCCTGTAAGTTTAAGCAAAATCTGCCATGTGGTTTAAGAGGAGTTGCATTCACAAAATTTCTACATAGTATATAGTGAAAAAATCAACAAAGGGCCATAATTCTGTTAAATTTGGTCGCAGCAAAAATTCCTTCCTTTACTACCATCTACACATTAAGGTTGTTCATCCCTGTAAGTTTGAGAAAAATCTGCCATGCGGTTTAAGAGGAGTTGCGTTCACAAAATTTCTTCATAATATCTAGTGAAAAAATCAACAAAGGGCCATAATTCTGTTAAATTTGGTCGCAGCGAAAATTCCTTCCTTTACTACCATCTACACATTAAGGTTGTTCAACCCTGTAAGTTTAAGCAAAATCTGCCATCCGGTTTAAGAGGAGTTGCGTTCACAAGATTTCGGGACGTACGGACAGACTGACGGACTGACGGACTGACACTCGGACGGACAAGTGCAACGCTATATGCTCCCACTCTGTGGGGGCATAAAAATCTAGTTCTTTTCTAATAGATCTAAATCAGAAGGAAAATCACACATTTAATACGAAAACTAGCGTGTGAAGTGTGGTGTCATTCATGAGGGCATTCCGTGCATATTAGGTTGTTACTATTTTAAGTGTTTACATAAATAGCGACCAACCAGGATTGGGGTTTTCCTTACGTCATGCAGTTACTGCATGCGCCCGGCAATTAACTAATTATTGGGGGTACATGTTTGTTTTGGTTTATGACTGCCGACTTAGCCTCTGCAATAAAATATTTTCGGTAGCAACGGGGTTCTGCCATAAAATTGAATTGGAAGCTGTGGTCTTTTCAATCGCATTTATTGTTTAGATAGCAGACACAGCATCAATCTCGCAACAATTGTCTTTGAAATACCGCTGTGGTGTATGAAAATTAAATACATTGTATAGCTTTTCCAGGTCATTCGGGAATATTTAGGCTCATATCGGCAATTTGACTGCTTGAATTTATGTGGACAAAGTCATTTTATAATTTATGTTATGTAAAGATTTCTTGTGAAAATGCCTTTGTTTTTGAATGTCTAATACTGGTGTTAATGTATACATGTCAGTTTCATCGTCGCCGATGGTAATGATGTCAAAATTTTCACAATTCATCTGCTGCAACCAAGCGTATATAAGTATATGATATTACATTCTGTGGCAATCATAATTATATTGTTAAAAAAAGCCAGATGTCATCAATTTGACAAATCTAACTCAAGAGTACATATGATTTTTTAAAAGGATTCAAATGATTATTATAGAGATGAATAGAATTTTAAGGAGTGAATAAATAAGAAATGGTACCAGAGTGCAAAACAATGAAGACAATATTTTAGAGCAATTTGGGTGCAAGGAAAACTGAAAAAGTGCTGGCAAAAGACCAATGCTCCTTCCAGTAAAATATACACAATTTGTCCATCCCTGTCGTTCTACTTTAATCTACTGCCGTTAACATTTTATAAATATATTTTATTATAATCATAATATATTATATTATTAAACATATCTTTTATTTTATTATTATGGCATAGAATGTTTAATAAAATTGAAAGAAAGTTCATAATCATATTGCTCTTCTTTATTAACATTTGCAGTAAATATTAAATATAAATACGGACAAGTGAACATTGAGTACGGACAAGTAAATTTCTTAGGTTACTTGTCCGTGGACAAGTACAATTTTCTGAGATTTTGCCGGCCCTGATACATAGTATGAACACAAAGATTTTCTTTCTGTTTTAAAGGCCCATTATGCGCCAGTATGCTTTAACTTTTATATCTCATTGATGTCACAATTCATTATTGTTTCCAAAAAGTCACACATTGGCCAATTTCCTGAATCATATTTTTGCTTCTGTTGAATTTTTGCAGTTAGGACATTTATAATTTAATGATTTATTTTGTAAACTAGATTGTTTACCTTTTGCTACTTTTATGACATATAACTTCACATTCAAAGGCGTTTGTAATTTTTTGTTTTGTTTTTGTTTACCCTTGGATTTTAAGTCACACCTTCACTACAAAGGTCATCTAGAGACCTTAAACCTGTTACTGATAGAGAAAGACCTAAAGAGCCCCTCCACGCATTATTTCAGGCACAAACCCTGGCACCAAAGTAGAAGCACTGACCTTCCGTAAGCCAAGTGGATAATCTTCCTCAAACAAAAGAGTCCAATATCCCAGGTGGGATTTGAACCTACAGCGCAGGTTTCAGTCACATGATCATTACATTCAAATAGCAAACTGGAGGCACGTTAAAGATTTAAAGACCGATGGTTTTCATTGCTGTATTATAATAGCAGTAAGACAAATAAATTTAAATTCTTCATGTTCAGGGTTTTCATTTTTATCTGAGGCAACAGATGAACAACCCATTTTGCCAAGAGTCAAGGGTGATACTTTAATATATAGGATGAAAATACAACCAATTTTAACAGCATTTTAACCGATGGTTGGGATAGCCAATCGGTTAATAATGAAAACCCTGCATGTTATAACTTGAGATTAGATTTCAACTATTGATGATTGGTGATTCATACCCCCACCAGCAAACTTAACTTTTTTTTTAAAAAAAGTGGTCGGAGGCAAAATTTAAGTCTACCTATATTTTATGATTAAAGGGAACATATTGCCCATAGGTGAAACAGCACAATATCTCAACTCATAGTAAAATATGTTGGACTACGTAACTAAATGACATACTAATTTTTTCTTTGTAATTTTCAAATTTTTCTACAGGCCTGCCCTTAAAGCTTATTACTATACTATTACTACTACAATTACTATGCGACTACTATAAGAAAAGACGCACGTAAAAAATCGTCAATTTTTTTCTTTATTATTTTTGAAATTTTCTTGAGGCCTGCCCTTTAAGCTTATTACTATACTATTACTACTACAAATACTATACCACTACTATGAGACAAGACCCTCGGTAAAATCGTCAAATCATTACATAGATATTTCAACAACTGTACTTACAATTCACATTCCTTTTCATTTATCTTTCAAGAAATTTAAATCCATACACTATGTTACCATATACATCAAAAGCTTTCACACTATTATCTACTTCACTGAATGACGACAGTTAGCTAAAATATCTTTAATCGTAAGCTATTTTTAAATCATACGAAATAACTTCAAATAAGTAAACATTCTGTACCAGTACTCAGCCATATATAAAATGTCAAATTTTAAAATGTCTGAGCTCAACAAGAGTACACTATAATTTTTATATCCAGCAAACTAAACTAAATAAGTAAAATAAACAGAACATATACCGAACAAACATTTTATATCTAAAAATCGTTAAAAGTTTTAAGCCCTTTTGGGTCAATGGATTTAACGTTTTGTAGTAAATTATCCTTCATATTTCACTTTGTAATTACCTATATGACTTGACATTTATTTCACTGTCTATGCCAGGTATAAATGTAGTAAATAAAATTGTTTAATCAAGCAAAAAGTCGCCAGATACGCCGGTTTACCACCAAGGGAGGTAGTACATGACAAGTGACATAACCAGATATTGAGAAATAGACAGATAAAGTTAACCACTCTGGCAGATTTCAATAAAAATGAATTAAATAAATTCAAATGACTGCAATTTTTGGAGATCATTAATCTTTAAGTGGTCGAAACTTCAATTTCAACATTATTTATTTGTATGTGTTGTTATATAACCATTACAGGTGCATTGCTGATTCAGTTATTTGTTGAAATACCCCCTTTTTTAAATGACTCTGGTAAAGGAGTCTGTTTCCCATTTGCAAAATGATGCTGAAAATTCAAAATTCCTTATTACAAAACACGTCTTCCCATTTGCAAAATGATGCTGAAAATTCAAAATTCCTTATTACAAAACACGTCTTACACTTTTTACAACTCTAAAAATTTCAAAATTTCGCATATTCATATGTATCTCAAGGGGTGATTAAAGATATAGTTTGCTCCTATTAGTTTAAACAGAGTTAATTTTAGACTGATTGTGAAAGACAGTACATTAAGCTTATGGACAGATATTATTTAGAACCAAGCAGTACTAAACAATGGGTGTAAAGTTTCTTGACCAACCTTACCCTACTGAATATATTAAATTTACTGATCATGGCTGCACTGCTGGCTATTCTGTAGCTTAGTGCTTATATTGAAATGTCCCCTAAAAATGATGAATAGTCTTGACCAAATTGAAGGAAGGACAAGTCCATTAAAGACATTTAGTGGGGTTACTGCTTGGTGCAATAACGATTTGGTCATCCCACCGTTACGAGGTCAAGCCAGCCTTCACACATTCACGCAGTCGGACCGGTCTTAAATTTACTCAATGCCCGTAACTGAATACTGAAACACCTGAACATAACGAGGGTAGTTCAACATTAAAGGTAAATATATAATTTACAAATTTAGCCGCGTAAATGTTAAAAGCAATACCATATTATACACATTCCAAGTTCAAGCAGGTATAAATTTTAAACAATTTTTTTATTTAAAGCGTAACAGTGTCTACTCCCCTGAAACTTTGTATCAAACAGTATTAGTCATGTTTCGAACATTTAACAACTCAATAACAACATGTTATATCTCAATAACAACTCTTAAAATAGCTGAGTTACTCACAATAAAACTGCTGATAATCCAAATATTAATTCCCGAACCATAAGGTTCAAATATAGTTACATCCTGTTGTACGTTAAACCTTCTTTTCCACAATTTCTATACATGACTTTTTCAGTAGTGGTCGACGGAGTGTATATAGCTTTTACAAACACTGTTTCATGAATAAGTTATTCAGCGTAAAACCAGACCAAAGAAGGCTAGCGATAAATATGCCTATCTGACATGTTCAATACGCGGGGCGATTTATCAATATGCACTAAATTACCAACAGTTGAATCATTATTACAAATTAATTTAAAGATAACCTATGATAGGGAAGATTCAGTAACTGTTTGAAACATGTCAATTTTTAACATCAAGACGTCAATTAAACATGTATCATATATAGTCAACTAGATTTTGCCTTTTCTCAACATTTAAATTTGAACACATTTATACACATGATGCATAGTTTAACAAATTTTATGTCATGACAACAAGTGCATAGTTTAGCTAATTTAAAATTATGACAAAGGAGTAATGGATAGTTTGAAAGGTTTTTTTGGGTTTGTTTTTAAAGTAATTTGAACTTGTTGTGCAAAATGTCATATAAATTTGTATAATTTGATTTGACCCAATTTTTTTTACCTCAGTTTTTAAGGCATACTACAGGCAGCTTTGGATTTACAATATTTGAATTGTAAGAGCTTTAAATTCAATGCATGAACAGAATTTAGAGGCAGCAAAAATGCTTAGTAAATTAAATTTACTATAAGTGCTGACCTTTCTCTTAAACACTTAAAACATATCAATTCCCACTTTAGTTTTACAAAAGCAAATGATGTATTACTTTACAAGAGGAGTAACTGATCCAATTACAACAGCACTTTGAAACAGAGACCTGAATTTCTAAGGCCCATATAGGAGTAAGTGGTCTATAAAGTTTAAAACTTTTGAGAAGAAATATTTCATTGCATATGTTATTTAGTAAATCAATTTAATTTGCCCATGAATTACCTGCTGTCTTCAATGAAGTGGTCAGTGAGAGTAAATGAAGCCACTGAGGTCAGTGCCATAAGATTTAAGCCAAACTTAAGCCTTCACTCATGGAATCTTGCTAGATCAAGGGCTGTGGCCTGCACAAGTATTAAGGTATCACTTTAATTCTATTAATGGATATAATTCTAAGCACAGAACAAACATTCATGCTAACCATTACCAAAATAAATAAATAATAAGCCACTGACTTAAGTTACAATTTCAGATTTTTCTTTCTTTTAACCTTTAGCCTGCTTAATGGCAACTGTCAGATTCTACCCATGCAACCAGTGCAGACCAAATTCAGTTTCATGGTCTGCACTATTAAAAAATGCTATACAGTCAGTATATATTTTGAAATTCTCCCTAATAATAGTGAATGGTTTCGTCCAGATTAAAAGAAGGGCAAGTCCATTTAAGATATTTAGCAGGGCATGGGTTAGAGACTTCAAACCCTACACCTACACCTCAAGTTCAATAAAATCCACCTACAGGTTAATAAAGAATTCTCAATGAAAAAAATCCGCCCACCTTTAAAATCCGTCTATGTTTAAAACATGTTAAATGTTTTATATCCATGATAAAATCTAATGCAATGTCAGTTATGTAAACTCCTATAGGGAAAAGTTTTGCTATTCTGGTATTTTAATTGGCAAATCCTGTTAAAAGTATAACAGAGCATTTTTGAATTAATATCAGTCTGACGATGTCAAATTTTTTATGCCTAAAAACGTCACCCGATGTACGTCACAGTCTAATTGCAAAAATAAAAGTGGACAGTCGTAATTAATACGAAACATTTCGTTTATTTAAATAAACGTACAAATTATCATTAACAGTTTCTACATATGTTTTCTAGGCTCAATGAGCAGAGAGATCGAAAATTCCACTCGTCCGCTCGTAATTGCAAGTAGAATTTAAGAGAACTTGATGCATGACGAGTAGAAAAATGTTGCCTGCACATTGGATTTAGAAGCTACTCATCCCGCAGGACAAGTGACTCTGAAAATATTTTTTGATGTCTGATGACCCTTTCAGACATTGAGAGAATGGACCTAAGCCTATAGATGGCAACGGAGTCTATCTCCGTATGACCAAGATCAGCCATCACATCAATGGTGTACGATGATAATCTGTTGGCTAATCAGGCAGTGTTTATTTTGAAATGTCCTCCTAAAAAATGATAAATGGATTAAATTATGATGACCAGAGTGAAAGATATTTAGTGTGGTAATAATTATAGATTTGAAATTAAAATGCTTACCATGTGCATGCAAGACTATACAATACAGATACATATAAGTTATTGCCTTTGACAATTTCTGTGATTTGAGAATAGAATACTTGAAACCTCAAGGTGTGTGGTGATGTGGTGGCTGCCTCTTAAACCCTAAGACTGTAGGTTTGAGTCTTACTTGAGTCAAGCTAATAATTCCTAATATGATGCCAGCAGTTTAAAATTTAGTTTCAGCACTTGTCAGTAATTAATTTTTAGACGAATTGGCGTGTTTCACAATCAATCTTTAACGTATAAATGAAATATGTTTTAACTAAATACTACACACTTCACAAAGAAATTTTATTTTCTTATATTATACACAGGGCATTAAAACAGCACTATTTAATTTTAACATTTCGCTGCACAAGAATAACAACTTGCTTACAGTGTAATGTTTGTATCAGTGGTGGTTTATAGTAACTTTTTGTACCAAACATTGTCAATGAACATTCCATATCATAGGATTGTCTACTTCGCTCATTAACCTATTCATTTCCATACTAATTACATTATAATAGGTATTTAAACTACCTGGGCACTCGGCCAATATTTGTGTGACCTCCGGTACATTTTGTGCCAAATCTAATGTTTAAGCTTTAAATGCTTTATTTGTAAAACTTTTACCCTCCATAGCGTTCATATTATGACCATTTCACAACATTGTGAAAGACAGCTTTGAAACTTTTAATTAAAGAAAGTTAGCCCAATTTATATCATTTACATAATGTCCCTTGCATTGAATTTGAAACAGTCAACCCCATTTATTTAATATGGACTTCAAAAATAATTTACTATCATAAAACCCAGTTTGAAAAGACCACCTTCCATCACAAACCGCCTTTTCTTTGACACCGATGTGCATCAACACAAAAATGGGCCGACTTTTCTTTAGTCGAATTTACAATTTACTTTACTGAGAACATGTATGATAACTGAAATGTAGTGACATTCAGCCATACAGAAGTATATGCCAGTAAACCTTAAACCTGTCACAAGCTTGAACCAATGGTGATTTATTGTTGCCACAAGTATAGAGCCAGGCCAGCTTGTGTGACCATGTAGTCTGACCAGGTTCAATACTGTTGGTTACTAAATTTTTGTATTTGTATACTGAAATGCCTAAAATATGTATGGACTATTTCAAACTTAGATATGGGCAGATATGGGCAAATCTATAAAACAAAGTAAGCAGGTTTAGGCCTCAGAACATTATGATAGGGCAG